TCAATGCAGATTCCGCAAACTTCTGCCCAGAGACGCCACCTCCCGACAGGCGTAGGTCTTGCAGCACTGCCGCGGGGATCCAGTCCTGGTAGAGGAATCCCAAAGAGGCCAGCATAGATCGGTGGCACCTCGGCACGCTGCCTGCCACGCACCCCCTTTTTTGGTGGCTCCCAACAAGAAAAGGGATCCGAATCCGAACATGAACGGCCTTCTCCTGCGAGCCCAAACTGCTGCCTCTCCCCTAGCCCCCCCGGCCCTGTTGGAGCCAGGCGCCAAGCACAGGCGTGCAGATCCGCCAGCCCACCCTGGGCCCAAAGTTGCAGCACCTCCGACACCATTGGCGCCAAACTCAAACGAAGGGCCGCGTAGGAGCAGTAGGCGCCTAACAGCTGGCCTGAACAGAGCGAGGTCTCCAACATCGATATCCCCATTGCATAACCGCCTCTACTCAACACTCACATATCAAAGCGATTCAAACATCACGCAGTTGTCCATGTCAGGGCAAACACCCCCAACACGCTATGATGAAGCCTTTTGTAGTACCCAACATTCCCACCTGAGCTGATCACTTTCTGCGACAGCTCAAAGAAGGCATGCTTGGACCATGCTCGAGAGAAGTCTGCAAGTAGGACATCCTGCATGGTGTCCGAATCATCCGTCGTTGCCCTGGTGTCCAGGAAACACCTTGGCTTAAGCCCTCCTCTTTTGCCCCACTCTGATCAAATTCAAAGTCAGTGGCTGCAAGACAAGCTGCTCTTGCAAGGAATCGAAGAGCTGTTGGAAGCATGGTAGCACGGGCTCCCCTTTTGGAGGCGCCAAAGGCCGTGGGGCGGTCAAAGTGGCGGTTTCAGTTGCCTCAGAGGCAGGCATTCCAACTTGGCAAGCCACACTCTCCCTGCGATTGAAGGCTACAAGCCATGAACAGCTGCTGGGGCAAGGAAAACTTCAAAACAAAGTATCTGCGCAGTCAGAGTGACTCCGAAACTTCAAAACGAGGCGCCGCACGCAGCCTCAAATACACCGCCGTGCTCTCGACGGCAGCGCTGCCATGCTCCGCCAAGACTTTCAGACCGCCTCAAGGCACTGGACACAGCTCGGTGAGTCCCTCGAGAGATTTGTGAGCACCCATCAAATGTCTCTGGCGGTTGCCCCCCTCGTTAATTTTGGGGAGTCCCCATCCCAGGTCCAAAAGTCTCGACCCGAGACTGCAAGCTGAGCCTTGGTCGCAAAGAACATGGAGAGCTGCTGCCAAAGCGGAGACGACCTTCTCCGCGCATTTGTTGCGCACCGTGGTTTGAAGGCAAAGAAGCGGCCGGTTCTGATTCACGTCCATTCCCACGATCTCCTGGCCAAAATTAAAGAAACACAATCTTGACAGGCCAACGAAGATGGGCAGCGCTTTCCGATGCAGAAGCCAGCCCGCCCCGCACCCCACTGACCCCTCCTTGGAGGCGGAGATGGCCTCCTGCTTCAAGCTCACGCCCTGCAGCACTCCCGAGCGGATCTTGCGAAGCTGCGTCATGACAGCCTGCGCAGTCAAAGGGTCTGCCTTCGGCTTTCTGATGATTTGTCAGGGCATCCAAACAATATCTAAGCAACATACCTCATACCTCCAATCTTAGGGTACCGTTCTCCGACTTATCTCAAGGGGAAACCAAAACCACCTAGTTTGGAGTGTTAACCAAGTCCTGGTGCTATCACCCTCACTCCAATCAAAAGAACAGCTCGGTATTGCATCGGTCCCTTGAACTTCGCTCAAGTCCAGCTGACCTTCCTCTGACTTGCGCTTGGTCTTTCTCTTTTCGCTTTCTCCCCAGCCCCGTGCCTCGAAGGCGGGCAGTTGCAGCAGGCGCCACAGCGCCGTGACGCGCTGCTGCAGCGTGGCCTCGGCCCGGTAGAAGTCCGCCGCGGGGAACGCGCCGCCTGCGGCCGCGCCGGCGGTCCAGGCCTCTGCGAAGGCGCGGAGCGTCTCCGGCAGAGGCAGCCGAGCCACGGCCGCCCAGAGGTCCCGTCGCAGCTCCTCCTCGGAGACCTGAGCGAAACGAGGGAGAAAACGAGGGAGGAGAGGGAGGAAACCAGGGAGGAGCGAGAGGAGAGAGAGCAGAGGGGAGGAGAGGGGAGGAGAGGAGGAGAGGGAGCCGAACGGACACACAAATAGCACCAACAACGCGCTGGCCTGGTCCTCCAGCTCCGGCGCCTCCTCGGCAAGGATGGAGGCCACCAGTGCCGGGGACTCCGCATCCTCCAGGGAGTCCAAGTGAAAGACCTCCCAGCCGCAGAAGTTGGCCTCGTAGCAGCTCGCCACGTGAAGCTTCCTTGGTCTGTTCTTGTTCCAGAGTGAACGGAGAAACGCGGCCTTTCGCTGGATCAAAGAAACAACCATGTGTGACAAGACCAACAAAAAAACAGCAAGGGCTGATTCTGAAGGTAGCTTCCACGGCGGCAGCAAGACTGTCACCAGCAAGCCTGACATTGAGCGCTCGTCGGCCAAGCGACGGAGCTGATGGATGGCCCGACATGTGCATTCCAGGTCATCACCTGCATAGGAAGCACCGCCTGCAAGTCGACACAGCACCATGAGCGGTTTGCTCCCGCCGGTCCTGCAGCGGATGAAACAGGTGCCAAAATGTCCAATGCTCAGCCTCCGCTGGTCGCCCCCTTCATGCCCCAGAAAGCGCTGCGTGATTTTTTCCCGCATGCCGCCAAACAAATCGCCAGCCAATCCCAGCCTCGACTCCAGTAGCTCCACCGCCTCTTTGCGCGTACGAGGCAATGGCCGGATATCCACGTCGTTGCGGCGCCATGTAGCCTGCATGACGTCGCGAGTGAAGACCAGGCACCGCGGCCAGCTCATGTGGTCAAGGTGCTGCAGCAAAGAGCCCAGCCCAGTGTGTGGGCGTGCTGCATAGCCTCCAAAGGAGCAGAACGCTAGTCACAGACCTCTCTTCCCATTTGCCTCTCTTTGAATGTTCGGTGACAACATCCCTGTCAAGCCACTCACCCTGCCTTCCAGAAGTTCCCATGGCAAGGATTTCCTGAGCTGGAAAAGAAACCCGAAAGAGCTGAAATGAGGCAAGTCGTGGGAACCTTTCAGCTTCAGTACTTGGATGACAAAAGTACAAGCTGACCCGCATCCCCGCCCATGAGTCCAATAGAGGGACTCCAAACATGACGGGTTTCCCTTTGGTGTCCCTGTAAAGCAACCCCAAAGCCATAAAAAAAGACACACACCCAAATGCCCCCGCTTCATCCCAGCTTCAGATGGCTGAGCACCGCCTCAGAAGGCGCCAGCTGCAGGAGCCGTCGTGCCGCGTCCGATGCCACGGCGGCCACGGCATCGTTGAGCCGCTGCTGCCGAATTGGCATGCCTCGCTCGCTTGCGGACAAAAGCACGTGAGAAACTAGGAACACATCACCACATGTTCCAGAGCCTTGTTGCTGTCCAGTTACTGGTGCGTGCTTGGATGAGCGTCTCCGCAGCTGCAAATCCATGAAATGCCACCAGCTCGTAGACAAGTAGGTAAGCATCGCCAGCCCTGCGGGTTGCTTCTTGAGAATCGATCTCCCGTACCATCGCGTCATTGATCTCGTACCAAGTCTGCTCGGATCGCCAGTATGCCACATAGTGCCCACCATCCAGAGAGCCACTGTGGACAATGAAGGAGGAGAGGTCATAGCTCCACATTTCCAGGTCTTGCAATGCCAGGTTCTCCCTCACGGGTGGCAAAAGTGGTAATTGGAGACCCTTCAAAGGCACGACGAGGTGGGCATCGTTCTTCTGCATTGACCCACTCTTCCGGCTCCATCGCTCCAGGCACCTGGATTCAAGCCCTCAAGCAATCCGAATCCTACTCGTAAAACTATGTAATCAAAAAACAAACAATGGGAACCACTTGGCCAACAAATGCCAAGATCAGATCCCCCTCCGCACAAGGCAGGCCTAAACCCAAACATGGTGGACGCCCCCCAAGAGGGAAGCCCTGAGGCATACCTCGAAAGTGACACCCTCGAAACCTTTCTCAAAAGGATGGTTTGAGGGACACATCCGAAACTTACTTTCGGACTTTGACACCCAAGGCTCACTTTGATGCACCCAGCGGCACAGGTGTCCTTTTCGGTTGGTTTGCTTGGACACAAATGGCCCTAGATGAATAAACCACCACGGCCATCGATTTTCGACCAACCAAGGACAGCTATGCCCAGCAAGTTCCGTTCCAGCCGAGGCACAGCGGCAGCATCGCGGGAGGTAGATCCCCCGCGGCCAGGCGCGCCTTGCCACGCACCGCAGAACCCAGGCGCACGGGACCCTCCGGGGTCTCTACCTGGGTTCGGCTCAAATGCAAGCCATCAAAGTTGGTTTCGTGTGGGTGTCCCTCTGAACATCAAAAAAGCTGGCTTCCGATTGGCTTCCCCGTCAACACCAGCCCATGATTTTCGTGGCTCTCTCTCTCTCTCTCTCTCCATCTGAAACAAACCCAAACAGTGCTCAAACAAAGTGCTGTAGTTTCCACAAAGCTCTCAAAAAGTGTTCCCTTTGGTGCCCAAAAAGTGGTCAAAAAACAACGATACGAAGCCCCGCCTCGCAGTCCTCCACCGAAGCCAGCAACTCCTCCCGCAGCAGCGCCTCCAGTGGCCTGAGTATTCGCAGCTTGCCAGAAACAAAGCGCAGGTGACATAGCAAGAACAGTCGGGCCTTCCGTAAAGTCTTGCTGCCCGCTTCAAAGACGGAAAACAGGGGCCCTAAGGATACCCACAGTCCACTGAACAGGTTCAGCCATTCGCCCTCCACCTCCACTCGACAGCCCGCCTGGCTGCCAGCGGAACCCGCAGCACGAAGTCCGCCAAAGGCGTCCCGGGCTGCGCCGGGAGGTCCTCCCGGCCCGCGCAGCAGGTGGCGCCGCGAAGAGCCAGCGCCCGGCCCCCGCAGCTCCCCAGCAATCCCTCCAGGATCGCTACAGCATCCTCCTGGCAACCATTTAAATAACAAGAGAAATATGGAATCACACCAATGGTCTTGTTTGTTCTCGAGTTGCACGAAGATATGCCTTCACCTGTGCAGGGTAGAAAGAAAGAGATTGGGAAGTTCCGGTAATGATGCTATGACTACAGTGTTGCATCATTTGGTTGCCCTCTGCGTTTTGGCGCTGTATGTGCTCGACGTGATGCTCCTTGCACCGGTGCGCATTTCCTCTGCGCAAGTGTTTCCTGTCGTCCTTGCTTTTGGGGATTGTAGTGTCGTGCACATTGCATTCGTAAGAGGGTCCTGCTTGCCACCCTCCACCATGCCCGCACGCTGTAGCTCTTTTTCCAATATGATCACCTGCTCCTTGTGCACCATTCCACGGCGCGACTTGTTCATCACATGGCGGAGCTCCTGGAAGGTTTGACAGCGCATACCTAAGCCTGCCTCGGGCACTCGCCCACGAAACCAAGGGCGCTAGGTCCTCGGCCAAATCACGGTCAGAGGAGTCGCCTGAGAGCCACTCGTCGTGCACCGCCAGGAGTGCAACGCAGGATGTCAGGTAGCAGCTGGCGCCCGTGTTCTCGAGGCCGCAGCAGCCCTTCGGCGCACCCCGCTTTTGCGTCAGCCCTGCCAGCGCGGCCGCAAGACGCGGCGCCAACGGAGCCGCCGGCTCCACTCTCGTGGCTCGGTCCTGGCGGTCCTGGCGGTCCTGGCGGTCCTGGCTGGCTTCCTGCCACACAGCAGACAGGGCCTCCAACGCCGCAGTGGCGGCTCTCGTTTGCAACGCCTCGTTGATGGCCGAGTCCAACGTACCGGTTTGGTATCCAATGAGGCTGGCTGGACCCAGCAGCTGCACCAAATCAAGCAGCCGGCGGTGAGCAGGCTGAACCACAAAGTTCTTCAGGAAATGTCGGCTCATTTGGCTGCCACAGAGTTGGACTGCGGTGCGCACTGCCAGATCTGCTGGGCTGCAATAGAACTTCTCGAAACGGTTCAAGAACGGCAAGGGTGTGCCTTGCAGATCAGAAGCCTTGATGCAGACCACAAGCTGAAAGTGCGGATGCACGGGCGCTAGCACGGAGTAACTCCCCGCAGCTATGGTTGCAGCAAAGGAAGTTCGGTCGTCCAGCTGGATTCGCTGAAAACGTAGGTTCAGCAGGTCATAGAATCCATCCAAAATCTCGTCAAAGTCAACGATGACACATACGCCCGGCTTCTCCGCGGCACGGCGGATCTCGTTTACCACCTGGCTTCGATGAAGTTGGCTTTGATCCCCAACCATGTCGGACACCTCGAGCACGCGAGCATCCTTGAGCAATCCAATCGACTGCAGGGCGCGGATGGCGGTCCCATCCTGCCAAGCGCCAAAAAGAAAAAAGTCAACTCGAACCACGCGGCAAGCGGAAGTTTCGACTCGGGTCCCCGGTCTCATCAATGAGGAGCTTGTAGCGCCAGGGCTCGAAGTCTTCACTATCTGGGAGATCCTAAGCATGCGGGCGCCATGTTAGACATAAGACCTGGAAACGGTTGACTCACTCCAGTCCTCCAGCGCCTCCTGGATCACATCAATGGGAGATCGCAAGGCCTTGGCGTCTGGCTTTGAGACCAGGCCACCTGCGGGCTTGTGACTCTGCGGGGCTCAGGAACTAGACGGCGGGTTCTGAACTTGCTGTTTCTTCATGCCCATGCCTGTGCACCGCTCTAAGTGCTTGAAGAAAATGTCCACAAGCTCCTGAAAGTCCTGGCAAAAGGTAGCCCGAAGTGTGCGTCTCCGCGCCGCTTTGCGGGCGCTCACAACATGAATTCAGGAGGACAACATGTGCCTCGGCACATCATTAGGAAATGGCAGCTTGTCAAGGCAAGGCAACACCCTTGCTCGGCCAATGCGACAACCAACAGGGGCTCCTCCATGCGGAGGCCTCCAAAGTTGCGCTCCAGGCTCATGAGCACTGCCCTGCCAGACACCGAGCCGTCCCTGACGTGTTTCTTGCGATCCAGGTACCTTGGTGGGTGCGACATGAGCTTGAACTCCACTGGGGAGGTAAAACCTTCTGACATGTGCGTGCATAGACCTCTCTCTCATTCTTTGCAACACGGCAAAACAAGCATCCCTTCAAATGGCCCCTAAAGAAATGATCTTCTGGTCTGCTGCATATCAAGCTGGGGACGCACTTCAGCCAGGGGGCCTCAGGCAGTGGTGGAAGTCCCGGAGGTGGAACATGCCCAAGGGGCTGCTTCGCTGCCCTCTTGAGATCTCACGGAAAGCATCGCAAAAGCCCTGGACAACGGCTTGCGAGGTAGGATCCTGCATAGGAACACCCAGACACTTGGACGCCAGGACTTTGAGGTCTTCGCTGTCAGCTTCATCACGAAAAACTTGTAGGCACCGATTCCTCTTTGCAGCATCCAACGGCTTGTTCGCCAGGATGCAGCAAAAAAGCTCGCCTTGATCAATCCAGTAATGAATTGCCTTCAAGCTCTCCTTGGGTGCATGCTAGCAAGAATTTGACGAATTGAAGCCCTCACAAAAAAAGTGAGAAACTACACTTTAACTAGCTAAAAGATGTGTTCGTGTCTTGCGAAGCGGCAGCTGCTCATTTGGGCGACAACACAAGGGGGCTAGGCTGGTACGTGCACGGTCTTGAAACATCAACATGCTGCACCAAGAAAGCACTACGTGTGGGTAAGAATTTCAGAATACAAAGAACGGACATCATGCAGACTGTTCCTGAAAGAGCAAAAGGATGCAAGTAAATCTGAGCCACCATTCTTTCCTCTGGAAGACCAGCCTCATCAATAAAAACAACAGGGCAACGCTTGTCCGCCGCTCGCCTCTTTGCACGCAGCGCCCCCTCGAACAGCTCGTGGATTTGCCGCGAGGTGCTGTCTTTGGAGCACTGATATCCTCAGGCACCCTTTGCTCTTAAGTTTTAGCGGTGTCAATGAAGCACAAAACCGCCCACGCACATAACAGGATGGAGCAAGTTTTCTGGCGAATGCTCAAAAATAAGTACAACATCCTGCGTTTGCAGCGAGAGGCGGAAGACGGAGTTTGCCACCTCGCAGCAGGAACACTGTTCGGTGCTTGGAACAACATGACGCACAAGCACAGTCAGCATTTGCGGGCACCACGACCGACAAAATCTACTCATTGTATTTCAGATTCAGCGCTATCCCAAATTGAGCTGAGCCGCATCGCTGAACTCTCTGAAGAGTGGCACAGAGGCGCTGCCGCGAAGAACGCTCGTGGCAATGTTGACTGCCAACGTCTTGCCAGTGCCGGGCATGCCGACAATCATCACAGGGATGTTCGTCTCGATACCGACAATGACTGCAAACACATTCTCCTTGAGCGCGCGAGTCCTTGCGATGCCATCATCCAGGATCACGTGCTCCATGTAATGATCCATCTCCTTTGCCAATGCTGCGGGCAAATCCAGGCTCTGCGCGGTGTCCACTGCGATATCCTGAATGGTTGCCCCCAGTACGCATGAAACAACTTACGCCAGGATCGGTTGGCCTTCTTGTGGCTGTTAGCTAATTCCTAGCAATGCTCAGTGCAGGTGGCATTCTGCCCAAATCACAGGCGGAACAGGATGGGGATCCATGTCGGTTGGGACAACACGGGAACGACGGTTGCCCTGACATGGGCTCATCTCCAAAAGAGAGATGATTTTGGTCTCCCTTCAAGTTAGCCCGCAAAGCGGTTCCCTCCAAAAAAAACACCCGTCAACATTCGCTCCTCCAAATGCCTCCGCGTGATCTCAACGAACCTGCGACGCTGCTCGCTGTTCAGGCCCAAATAGTAGCACACTCCAAAGGCCAGCAGCAAAGCGTGCGCCATGCTGCTGCGCTGGCACTCTGGAGCTGTGAAGCTCCGCTGCCGGAAGAACTTCCTGAGGTCAACGAGGACGTCAACTGCTAAAATGAAGCCCCAATAAATGACTCCAGCCCTGAAGGGGAACCACCCCTGACCAGAAAAGTTGTCTGAAATACAGAACGTATCCTTGCTAGCAAAGTCTAACCCCGCCCCCCACCCACCCACCCGCCGACCGGCGACATAGACCAAGGTTGCATTGTTGCCAGCTTATCATATTGCAAGTCGAGTATCAGGAGCCGGACAACTCGGATGATGTCCCGCTGGGACACAGCGGACTTGGACCTCAAGGTGTCTCTCATGAAGCACTGAGCATCAGAAATGGCCGTGGCGAAGCGCTGAGCATCATCCTTAGCTCCCTAGCCGCTGATCCTCATGGCACCATGCGGCCAGCAGCCCTCACAGCATGGATTTCTCTGCACTCTGTTGGCTTGCCGGATGCAAGTCTTAAAAATAGAAAGTGCATTGTTCTTTAAGTGTGTAAAAGGGTAAGATGTCCTGGACACCTGCGACCACATGCACGTTCCAAATATCTCCCAGGCGCTTCTTGCATCTCGACACCGTCCTGCCAAGCCGTCTTTCGCAGCAGGAGCAGGGCGTAGCGCTCCTCATCGGCCTCCATAGGGGACTTCCAGTTCCAAATGTACGGCTCAAAAGAGGGCGGAAGAGGATGCACCTGGCAAGCTGCGCAAAGAGCAAAGCTGTTGGTGCAAGGGACAAAGTCTGCTAGGCTACCTATCAAAAATGCCCATTTTGACATGCTTGCGTTGGGCTCGTGCTGTACCAGCGCCTGGAAGAAGTCCCTCATGACAGTCCTGCTGCCGCGGACCACCAGATCCTCTGCAGAGGCCTCCTCTCGGTATGGGTTCGCTGCAGCCACCAGGAAGAGGTTCGGATGCTTGCCCAGCAGGCTGTCGCAAAACATTGCCTTCACCAGGCCCAGGCAGGAGGCCGTGTTCACCTGGTATGAATGCAAGTTCAACCGCTCCTGGGCTAATCCCCACGACCAAGGCTCCAATTTGTGATTCCCTGGGGCCCAAGGCAATCAAGACATAGAGCTCTGCCAGCCACCCCCGGTCTTCCATTGCCCACACGGTCCTGCCTCATCTAGGAAGACTACCACCACAAGGTCAGGCTCCCGTGTGCAGGCGCGCAACGCCGGCTCGAGCTGCTCCTAGGCGCACAGAGAGCAAGAAGACTCCCGGTCTGGGGCGAATACTGTGGCTGGACGCAATCCACTTCGCACCACGCAAGAAACCCTGGATGGTTGATTCTCCTGTAAAACCAACAAACTATGTTTTCCCATGGTTCCAAAGTGGTGCAGGATTCCGTCCATCCACAGTAGGTCGGTGGATGAGATGTGCTCTGGAAGCAGCAGGGGAATTGCTGTGTTTGCTGCAGTCACAATGACAAAATAAGGACTAGCATAATATATCTCACTAGCCCCCACACAATCATAACCATCACCCCCACAACAACCCCACCGACACAGCGTTTTCCTGAAGCATCCAACTTCAAGGGCATCGTGCGCATGGTCCGCACCATCGATAGCATTGACGCCATCAATATCATCAACACTTATCGCTGGCTCCGGCAGTATGTCGCAACACAACATCACTGAAATCGCTGACGTCATCATCGCCATTGCCACCAGCGCAACAACCTCCTTCTCCACCTCCTCCGCCTCCTGCTCCTCCTCCTCCTCCTTTTAGCTAATTCTCCTCCTGGTACTTCTCCTCCTCATTCTCCTGCTCCTCATTCTCCTCCTCCTCCGGCCTCCTCTTCATTCCCCTAACAGTACTGTGGGAGCTTCAGTAGGCATCCGATCCTGACTGATGTGGTCATCCACAGAAACATTGACCTCGCCGACATCATTAAGAATGGCAGCATCACCATTGTCGGCATCGAAACATCACCGGACTATCGCCGAGGAGTCAGCATTTACATTGAAAACATCAATATCATCAGCATTTACATTGAAGGCATCACCGACATCACCTCCATCACTCACATCTTACCATCCAAATCACTAGCGGCATTGCCATCATCAATGCCATGTGAAAAGCCCGCCAAAAGAGAAATCCGCACACCACTGCGCCAGGAGTAGAAAAAAACATTGCAGCTAGTCGCTTTGTGACTCAGCAGGGTTTTCACACATCCCAAGGAAAGGCTGTGTTCAGTCAAATAAGAAACAGCTCACGAGGGCTATTCTTCACAAAATGACAGCAGGCCCCAACCGGCCTGCACTTCCTCCGCTGTCATGGCAGCATGGACCTGCACAGGCGCCCGAGCGATCGCTTTCGAAGCCACCACAAATACAAATGCACAGAAACTGTGCTGTGGCTTTCGTCAATGTTTGCATTCAAATGCTTTTCGCAGTGCGTCTGGCTTGTCATTCGGAACAGCAATCATAACGTGTGCCAACTCATTCCTGAAGTGCCCCCTGCCTGAAGCTTGAAAAAGAACGGCTCTGGTGGGAGTGCCGCGACGACTCGAAGCGCAAGCTCCAGCATGGCCGCTGTGGCTTCATCCTGACGACATCAAGCCCAACAACTCAGCAAAGCCCTCACAACTGCCAGGCTCCCCAGAAGGCCAAACCCCTGCAAGCTGTGGGTCTGTGGCGTTCCCCATAATCATGGGTAAGCAGAAGCTCATCAAATGTTGGTCTTCTGAAACTGAGGATCTCTTCAACAAATACTATACTCGGCTTGCCGTTATTTCCATTTAAGGCAATCAATCGAACACAAGGCTGCCTGGCAGCAACGCCATCCCATCCCATCATGCGCCTCCAGCCTTTCGCCAGTCGCCGCGCGCAGGACCGCCAGGCCGTCCACGTCCCGCTCTTGCTCTTGGGCTGCGTGACTCATGCTCCGCCACTGCTGGCAGTCGCCCCCCCGCAGCATGAGGTGGAACCTCGAAATGCAGCCAAGCACAACGCTCGCGACTCGCCACTCCACCCGCAGGCACCCTAAACACTGCTGGGAGTGGCGGATTGACTTGCCAAAGAGAAAAGGGGGACATGCGACATGGAGAGCTTGCAGAACCGAGCGGCAGCCCCACATCAAAGCGTGGAGAGTGCTGAACCCTGCCCACCAACCACTGAAGCAGCTCTGCATGAGTGACCAAAGGTTCCTGCGCCCAGATTCAATCTCAGCTTGCCCAGGTTCTCTTTGCACGCTTCAATCTAGCATGCTTGCACAAATATCTTCGACAAGCTTCCAAGCCGGAAACGGTGCGCTCAGCGTAGAGGTTCAAATTCTGCAGCAGCTCCTGTCGGTCATCTTATTCACTTGAGAGAAGCTCCGCGACAAACCAGCGAGGCTTTCCGTATCTTGTCAAAAGTCAGCGACCTCTGCCAAAATGTTGGCAAATGTTCATTTGACATGCCTGTGAGGTCCTGGAGGCTTTGCAAGCTGAAGCCTTGTTCCAAGACCGCCTGCTTGGCCTCCTCCACTGCCCTCGGGATGAGCCAAGGATCCGAGCGCAAGTGCCAAACGATTCAGCCAGGTTGCTGGAGCACGGGGTCGTCGGGTGTATTGTCCTGGATGTCCAATGCAGCCCACATGGATCAAAAGTAGGGCCCGAAATGGAACCCTGGTAAATGGACAAGTGGACTAAAAGCTGCATAACCCTATCTCTTCAATTTGGAGCCACACCCACATCTAACATGCTTGATTCCCAAACGCCGTCCCTGTCCTTGGCCTGCAGGAGCTTGTCGCTAATAAACTGAAACAATTCCTGACGCAGACAGTGATTGCAGGGTAAGCAAAACACTGGTCAGATGCCAGCTGAATACACTGTTTAACCCGAGGAATGTGTTGATTCTCTGTCAAGACGTTGCACAATCAATAGCAACAGCCAAAGCATTCAAAACAGGGCATGTGGTTTTGTTTTGTGGTCTTTACAAAAAAAAAATGTGTTCTTTTTGAGCTTGTTTTCCGGGAAACCAAGTGGACAACACCCATTTTCAGGGTTCTGCCATTGCGAGAGAAGCCCACGTGCTGCCCGAGCTTCCCTGGGCACGTCAGGCCGAACCTCCTGCGACTCCAGCAGCAGCCGCGTCAGCAGCTGCAGCGCCCGGGTCTTCCCCGTGCCGCTCTCCCCCACCAAAATCGCCGGGACGCGGCTGCGCCAGCGCGCCAGCAGCTCCAAGATCTTGCCTGCGAGATTGCGGCTACTGACAAGCAAGGAAACGCTGAAGCTTGGTAGGACACAACAGAGTCGCGTGAGTTTGCCTTTGGATATGCTCAAGGGTGTCGACTGCAGTGATGGCTGGCCCATGTCTTGTGTTCTGCAAGTGAAAAAGAGGAAGAGCGCACCAACAAGCCGATAGAAAGACAGGCTGCTGGTGAAGTCTCGCGTCAGCACGTAGCCTTCTTCCTCCAAGACTTTCTCCACGTGATAGATTGGCACCCCAATGGCACATGCCAATGCCTGCACCCCCTGCCTCTCATCCTCCATGGCCGACTCTAGCAACATGAGGTTGGCCACTGCCGCATCTGCCAACAGAACCTTCCGAGGTACATCGTTGAGCAGCCTCCACCGAATCATGTTGCACGCACAATCTGGGCCGCGTGGGCAAATACTCTGCTCGGAGAGCTCCGGGTTGCATGCCAGGCTGGGGACGAAAATCACAAAGTCTTCGTGCTGGTGCTTGGTGTAGGTTGGAACAAAGTGAAGGCATAGCTCCTCGCCCATGCCCAGCTGACGCAGCCCATTGCCCACACATTCAACCAGAAGCGAGCCCAGTCGTTGGTCGCCCTCGGCGTCGCTGCTCTTGAAGAGCGTTGAGTTGGCCAGCCATCCTCCAAGTTGCCAAAGCAGTCATGCATTTGAAGTGACGTGTTCTGAGGGCCCTTGCCAAGACAAGAAAGCATCACAGAGCTTTTGGAGACAACCCAGTCCTGCCAGAAGAGAGACCCTTCGCAAGATCAGCTCTTGCTGGGCCTTGCCCAGTCCCAGTTCAAGCTGGAAAAGTGCTGCAAAGCACTGCAACGTGACTTCCGGATCAGGCGGGTCCGGGAAGCGCCGGATGTCTACAGCCCAGAAGTCCTGCTCGTTGAAGCACCTCGGCGATCTGCTGTCTTTGAACGAAACCGATCTGGACACAAATCGAAGACATCAAGAAGCCATCTGAGGTCTGTTAGAATGCTAGAGAAAGCCCAACACTGAAGATATCCCCTCTGACGATGAATGACAGACCTCATCTGAAGCCCTCCTCTTGCCATGCTGCTGAAGAAGCTCTCGCTGCTCCCGTGGCAAAACGACCCCGGACGTCGCCATGGTCGCCATGGTCGCCAGCTCTCCGCAGCGGATGTCCAGCAGTTGGCGGCGGTCGTCCCAGGGATGGCCCTGCCATGCCATCAAAACTCTCTGTGGGTCATGGTTCCATTAGGTGGTTGATCAATATTCCATTTAGCATGGGTAACTTGCATGTAGTAGGAAATATCATGTCTTTTGTGGCTTCCCCCAACGGTCATCCCATGTAAGACCTTTTGATCGACCCCCATTAATCGGAAAACCTTTACACCAGTTGTCTTAAACCCACTGAGAGGTTGATGACCGTCCCTACCAACCCCCGGTAAAAAGTCTCTTAACCATGGAACATGTGACAGCGGTGGCGCTTTCTGATCGTACATCTCTTCCTTTTTCCTGCAATACTGGGTCTCCCTTTAAAAGCATTTTGACTGGAATTTAGAAAACTTGGCCCAGGCCTGCTGGTAGGCTTGCATCAGGCGCAGGGCCAAAGCGCATCGCTCTGGGGCAACGCGGCGCCGAAACTCGTGCGTGGAATCGTGCAACTGCTGAGACTGACGATGCTCCTGAAAGCACGCGTTGCACAGGTCAAAGTCCTGGCAGTCCTGACAGTGGTAACAGGCTCCGCAAACGGGATGTGCCTGGCAACGGTCGCAGGTTACTGACCAGTGTGTCTCCTCCTCCCCCTCAAGCTGAAGCAGTGCCGCAAAGCGTCGTTCCCCGCATTGCAATGGAGCCTGATTTACCTTAAATGTCGCATCCTGGCCAACAAGCCTGAGGATTGGGTACAGCAGGTTTAGGCTCTGCTGATTGGTCGGGATCTTGGGAAACTTGACCTGCAACAGCTCCTCTGTGGCGTAGGGTCTCGATGCGTGAAGATCACGCTTGCCTGCTTTTCTTCCAACTTCCACATAGATGCAGACATCTGGGGGAAGATGCACCATCTGTCCACTGTCTGGGTCATGAAGAACCTGGCACAGGAGCAAGTGTCTCAAGAAGGTCTTGGTGACATGAAAGTCGCTGTAAGCGCTTAGGTCGATGTGGAGCGCATTTCGCTGCCCGGCTTCGGCGGACTTGCGGATCTCCTTTGCAGCCTCCTCCACGAAGGGTCCCGCCTGGAAGCCTTCGTGCAGGATGCACGAGATGATGTCCATGTTGAAAGCCTGGCACTCGTGCTGGATGCAAGAACTCTTGCCCGAGGAGGGCCCGGCCCCTAAGGGGGCCTCCGCGCCCTGATAGAGCCACACCTCTGCGCTGCTCTGCTGCCAAAGCTGCCGCAGCTGGCCATCACGGGCCAGTTGCAGCGGCTGCACTTGCGCGGAGGCTGGGATGTGCCAGGGCGTTGTAAGGATCACTGCCACAGAGCAGTCGGCCTGGCTTTTGCAGAGCCAATCTGCCACGTGCTTCTTGCCCTCTGGTGGGAGGCTGCTGGGCTCCACCAGCACAAAAAGCAGATCGGGGAAGTGCTGGGCACGCCAAAGAAAGGCCTCGCGTGCGGCAACGTGCGATTAGACACACAGCGAACCTCATAGACTCTGCCAGCCCTACTGACTAGGAGCCGCTCTCCAATCAAACGCCCCCGCCTCCACCTCAGCTAGTGGCACATCAGGTCCTCCGAAAAGTAGCTCCGAAGGGCGAGGCAGGCGCTTGGGGCCGCCGGGCCAGCGAAGGAAAAGCTGAGCCACGAGCAAAAGCTGCTCCTGGAAACCACGCGCAACTCTCATTGAGGGACTGATCCTGCAATTTGCCCTTTTCACTGCCCCTTTTTTCTGCACCAACTTGCCGGCTGTACGGTCCTCGTCGCCCTCCGCATGCAAGAGGAAACGGCCTCGCCGCGCCTGCGCATGGCTGCTGAGGCTCAGCCCCTCGCAGCAGAGGCATAATCCTTCCAGCGCTCTGTCCTGCGTGGATGACACTCATGCTGCATTGGCTAAACGCGCCACCGAGTTGATGACTAACCACGTGTTGGCCTTAAAACTTCGAGTTACATGTATGTTCCAGTTTCTGCCGAAGCTCGGCTGTCAACGGGATGCCCGCAGGGAAGCCTGCAGGCCAGAGAGTGTTCCAGAAAGCCTCCTTGTTGCAGGAGCTCCAGACTTGCAGGCCCTCAGTGAGAGATGACACAACCTCGTCGGTGAAGCCCTGCTCACACAAGTCAGCCAGCCATCCGTGGAACTGACCTGGCAGGCCGAGATAGATCTCAATGAATTTCTGAATGGGGGCTGATAGACTAGTCCATGCAAAAGCCAACCCAAGCCAAGGGAAGCCACGGAATTTTCGGGATTTGACGCTTGTTGTAGGCTTCTACAGGAGCATGCCTTTCATGCCAAAGAGAGGGGGGACAGACACTAGGTTAATCTATGAGCAAAACCCCGACCGGCGCCCTCGCGCGTTTCCACAGCTTCCACGCCTCGGGGCACGAGGCCCAGCAAAGGCGCGGCCGCCAACGTCGCCAGCACCTGCTGCCGCCACAAAGTGAGGCTCCGCAGCTGCTCCGGCGCGACCGCGGCGAGGCTCCGCATGGGGAACTGCAAGGTGGGCGGTTCAACCCCGGCTTAAAGCATGTGTATTTCTTGCCACTCTGGTTCTCAACAACTTCCCATTGGCTTCCATTTAAAGGGGACCAGAGGTTCGTTGCTGAAACAAGTTTGGCCCAACTCTGGAACTGGCGCGAGGCTCCGGTTGGAACCTGGAGGCTGAAGTTCATTGGGTTGCTTCCACAGCTGCACCATTTACTGCCAAAAGCTTCAAATTACAGCAAACAACAATGAGGACTTGTAGAAGCCAGCTTTTAAGGTAGACATGAAATCGGAAAGAATGCTGGCTTATGCTGAACAGCTCACACATCAGTCACACTTACATCCATTCCAGCGCTTGCATGCACCATGAATGTTTTCCCTGATCCCACGTCAATAGCTCTGCCTACCCCCCAGCACCCAGCACCTCCTTTGGCTGCCGAAACTCGGGATGCCCAGCGCGGTGCAGCTGGCTGCCCGTGTAGGCCAAGCCATTCGAGGAATCCACGGCCTCCATCTGCTCCAAGAAGGTCCGCAGAATCGCCGCCTCCTGGCCGCGGTTCTCTCTGAGGCTCACCCGTTTTTGTCTGGGTTTAAAGGTGTAAACGGGAAACCAAAGGAAAACACCGAAATCCATTTTAGGCGCCCTACAACACTGAACACCCTCCTGAAGGGCAACTCGAAATCTGGACAGAAACGGACTTCCGGCGGTTTCGATCAAACGGATATCAACATGAAAGCAGCCGTTTGGATCGGCCCCTAATCTTGCAACAGTAAAAATGTGCTGGCGGGCTGGCGGAAGCTTCGAAAGATTTATTTCAGGCAGAAGGGAGGCCTGCTGTTGTCCACTTCTGTGCTGGCCAGAGACATCTTACTGTTTTTGCCCTCCACCAAATTTGCAGACTACGCACAAGAAAGAATGACTTCAGGAAACAACCAACAAAAGTTGAGATATCCTGATGCGCCCGACCACCACGACAACCTTTCCGGCGGCTTCATCCGATCCCATGTCCATAGGCAAGTTTGACTGAAGTCACGCGTGCAGCCATGCCCGGAACTACAGTGTTGACATGTCTTGCAAGAGCGCCACCTCAACTGTTGACGTCAGACCCTCCAAGCCCAGCCACCTGGCCATGGATCAAAACCCCGTACCCCCAGTGAACAGCCCAATCCCCACTAAAACAGGGTGGTGCACCTATCCGACCTATCCCAAAATGGGATCCCATTGGTTTTGACGTCAGACCCACATGAGCCAGGGGCCAAACTCCGCGTGACCAGGCCGCTTGCACGTCTGTCCTCCGACTTGGAGTCCCAGCCCTCCAGGCTCATGAGACTCCTCGCGGGAAACCGAAGCTTGGCTTGCGCTGGCCTCCCTTTCGGTCCAAGGATCACTGTTTGCCAGAAAGGGCCTGAAAATCCACAGGGATTTGAGGTTTTCTCGCAAAAGAAGGATGGAAGAACCACTGATCAATGCTTGTTGCTTCTGTAAAGGCCAGGGGCTGTGTAATTGAACATGAATTCCAGACATGTAGAGGAGCTAGATGAAGGGAGGCGTCTGCCTCCCCTTATGATATGCTACTAAATTGCCGAATCTACACTCCTTCACAGAAGAAAGTCCTGGTCAACGAAGAAGTTGTGGCTCAATGGGACATACTCGCGCGTGCATACTATCCATATGAGTTGCCAGTTTACTCAACATCGAAGCTGCGAAACAACGCTCCTGGTGGAATACTCCAGAAGGCTGCTCGAAGAAACCTTCACATGCTCTCCAGCCGTGCCGTCATAGTTGTAGCAGCAATAGAAGTCGTCTTTGCCACCGTCGAGCACCAGGCGCCCCTGCAAAATCTGGCCCACTGTGTAGAGCAGCAGCTGACTACCAGTGCCCATACTCTCGAAGAGGGCACGGATGAGCTGCAAGTGCTCCGCCACCAGGTTGAAAGACTCCAGCCTCACTTTCTTTGACGTCAAGGCGCGCAAGATCCGCACCGCAGTCTCCTTGCAGGAAGCTCCCAATTATCATACCCTACCCTGACAGCTCCAACATGAGCGCAAAACTAGGCCCACAACCTCTGCTCTCATGCTGCATGAGTGTCTGAGCTGGCAGGCTCCGCTTGTTTCGGCATTGATACGATTCGCAGAAAACCAGAAAGAGCATCCGCACAATGATGCAGCTCGTCCAGAAGGGCTTGCCTTACCTCAGCTTTGAAGAAAGTGCCAGGAACCGTGCTGCCCAACCTTGACAACACTGCTCCAACTCAGCGCTTGCACGGCAGATTCATCCATCAAGTTGCAGAGATATCCTCTTCGAGCCGTTGGCGAACAACTGCCAGGGCCTCTTCGAACTGCTGAAAGCCGCTCTCCCCCACGAACTTCTTCTCCACCAGGAAGTCAAAGATGCAAATCCTGCGGCATCGTGGCATGGAAGAGCCAACGGTGCCCCAGCCCAATGGCTTTCATCCATGCACCTTACCCTTGTGAAACTTGACTTCCGAAAAAATGCACACCCTGCCGGTGCCAAGTGGTGGACACAAAACTTTCGCCAACCAACTCTGCTCTTTGCTCGAATCCTGGCCTCTGCATCAGAGTCTGGAAGAGCTCTGGATCGAAATCTCCAAAGCCGAGGTCGCGGAAGGCCGGGAGCCTTTCGCAAACGGGAGAAGACTGGGATGTGTCTTTGTTCGAGGGTACTGGAGGTTCCCTATTTTCTGTACAACTGAGTCCAGCAAGGAGGTTTACAAGAGGGGTGTCAAAACTCAAAACGAGGCAGACTGCCTTGGATTGGTTTGCAAGAAACCAAGCATGAAACTCTGCTTTTGACACGAATGGCCTTGTCGCATCAAAAGAGATGTTCACCTCCTTGTCTTTCAAAACATCTGCTGCCATCTGTTTTGCCTGCTGGAAGCTGTCAGAGTCGACCAGCCAGTCCAAGCGTTTTTGCTGCAATGCCGCCTCCAAGGTCTGCAGGGACAGGGCGATCCTCGCGGCATGACGTGTGCGATCCCTGGCGTGCCAATGGTTCAAACGCACACAAATGATCCAGTCTCTCTTGGTACAAGAGCTTCTCCCATCAAAGCCCGGTTCCGCAGCTCCCTGAGATGACCCACTCAGGCCCTCCGTCCTATGCACCCGGAGGGCATCCATCAGAACGTGCGCCTTGTCAGTGACCGGAGGCGCTGTCTTGCCAAAGAACCTGGCAATCGTCCCCACGTTCTCCTTGTTCTCCTTGTTCTCCTCCCCGAAGTACTCCACCAAGAGGCCTAGGATCAACTGCCAGAGCAAACGCGAGAAGACTTGGCATGAGTTCTGCGATTTGGTCATGTTTCACTGGGCCCTTACTGTCTTCCCATGCACTCAAACGCCTCAGCAATTTCCCAAGGCCAAAGGCACTCACCTCCTTCTTCACCTTGGCCTCCGGCAACTTCGCCAGCGCACCGCAGCACAAGCGCCACACCACGCAGGGCAGGGTTTGCCCGCGGGCCAGGGTGCCCAGGCCCTGGTGGCAGCGCTTCACCACGTCGCAAAACCCCTGGAAGTCCTGAGATGCCGCGTTGGGGGTAAGAACCCCCAGCGGAGAACATCAAGCTTGCTTTTGTTTGGAGTTTGACGCATGGCGTGCAAAAGCATGCAAGTGTGCAGGTAGTGCCTAAGCAACGCGAAATGCAAGAGCAAAAAACTGGAGGGAAAATGATGCGTTTCCGCCTGCATGTGCAGTCCAGTCTCCAGATTCAGGAGCGTCCCATCCATGCCTGCAGCAAAGCCCATGGTGTCTGCAAAGTGTTCGAGGCACGGATTGATCAAGACGGAGCCCACCCGCATGAAGTGCTGCAGGAAGTCGAAGGTGCCTTGACCATCATCCTGGAAGGACTTGAAGCTGTCGTAGCTCCCCCGCGCCTCCTTCTCCATGTCCACCAGGGAGAGATCCTCAACACGCGACAGCATCTTCTTCAGCTGCCCCCGGCTTCTGGCCACCTCCTGGAAGCGCCACTTCTCCACCAGGAACTCCAACAGCTGCAAATGACGCTGCAGCTCCGCCCTGAGATCGTCCACCCTCGGGGTTCAGTCTGTACATCTGGCGGAATGCAGAGGGGAGGAAGAGAGCAAGAGATAAAGAGAAAGAGAAAGAGAACGACTCCCACAATGCGAGTCCAATCTAACTGACTCCCCCATCGCATTTTTCTGCCGACTTTCAGATCCCCCCGCCTCTGCTTCTGCTCCTCCACTTTTGCAGAGAGGCCGCTGGAGAGCTCGTTCATGTTTTCCACGAGGGCCTGCAAGCTCCGCTGCCGTGGCTCGTGCAGCTCCACGTAGGCTCTGCAAGGCAGGCGGCCCTCCTTGGCCACACGGCCCAGGCGGCTGAAGAACTGCAGGCTCACCTAACGTCACTCTCAATTCGGAAACGGCTCATATGTGACCAGAAGGGTACAAACAGAAAAAACGCGGCAACGTGTTAGAGGTACCAGCCCGAGTTGCTGGCTGGTCACTTTCCTTCACGTCTCCAGCCCCAAAGACCGTCAGCAATGGCTTCAGCCTCGGCCACTCGCAGCAACTTATAGCTGCCCACTCTGTTGCCCAAAGGTTGTCATCCTCCGGCAGCTTCTTGAGAAAGGGATGAATGAACTCTTCCTCATGCTTCACCTTGGGTGTGCGTACCAAAAAGCTAGATGCAGCCAGCGCTGAACGCTTCCTCCCCACACCTCATCTGACATTGCCCAAGGTCCTGAATCCACTGAAAGCCTGGAGAGAGCCCAGTAAACATGCGGCTTCACGCAATCGGAGATTCCACAATTTCTTCTTGCCAGGCCGCCCGAGTGTCCAGCAGTTGTGGTCGGCACATCAAGTGCTGCGAGCCCAGCCACTGAAAGAACTCCTGGTCAGAAAGCTGCAATGGCTGGACTTGGGTAGGGGGGGTGGCCGCTTGGAGGGGGCTGTCTGTGTGGCTGATTGATCGGCTGCCCGCTGATTGATCGGTGCAGTCCACAAAAAACTTTGCAAAGGACTGCATCCACCCCAATTGAGCGAGCCTTCTCTCTCGGCGAGCCCGGGGGCACAAGCGCAAGATTCGGCACCCAGCACTCCAGGAAGAGCTGTGCCACCCACTGAGAGCAGCGGCGACCTGGCACAGCCGACAGTGGAATGGAAGTGCCTCCCAGACCCTCACATTTCTGGCCTGACTGGCACTGGACGCAGGCACCACGCTGCCTACTGATTGAAAAACGAACATCTGAACACGGAAGGCATTTGAGGACACGTCGCTGAGTGATGTGGAGACTTGCAGTAATCCACTTTTCTCCGGCCTGTGGTGATGGTTGTGCTTGGCAAACTCCATTGAGCACAATCCCTCACCGCCGAAGCCACACAACTGAATGGATGCTCCTGCAGAGCGGCGTTCTTTGCCTCGTTTGCATCAAGGCGTATGTAAAGGGCGAATCTGTCCAGGTTCATCCTGTATAGTTTGCCCTGATGTATTGTTCAAAGTGCTGAAATCCATGATAACGCTATAACAAGTGCTGTATCTCTGCTGCTCAATGGTGCATCATATGCAAAGCACAACCTTGCGTGGGCAATTTGCGCCGGCTGTCCTCCTGCAAAATGCCCATGTCAGCCAGGTCACGCAGCAACTCGTGAAGCTGGTGCGGTCTTGGCCTTATGCTGCAAGTCTTGTCCTATGGTTGTCAACGCTTCAACAGGGCCGCACTCCCAAAGGGCGCGATGGCAGTGCCAATGGGGCCGTTCTGTTTGGGGCCAAGTTTGAGCCAATGGTGCCTTGACAACCAGTCGACATTGTAGACATGAGTGACATAGCCTCACCAGAAGCCTGGACGTGGGAAATGAAAGCGATCAGATTGTCAAATTGTCATGGGACTCTGCCTGAAAGAACCTGTGGATTCCTAGAAAGGCAATCAGGCTTAATGAGAATTCGATCAAACGTCATCGAATGATCGGCCAAGCAGAAATGTTGCTCTTTCTGATGTGATCAGCAGAGCTGGCCAGAACAGTGAATGTATGCCCTCGGTTGCACATGCTGGCCCGACATCTCTGGCATCCTGTACAACATCCAAATGTCTGAGGTACGGACTCAGTTTGTCGTCTTGGAATGAATGCCAAACAAAGAAGCTCAACATAATTCCGAATTGCACTCTTTGAGCATTAGATGGTAACCTTCGGACTTGCGCCATGGCCACATCAAATGTTGGGGCCGGAAATGCCTCCTTTGAACTTGTGGAATTCTGCATGAAACGCTGGAGGCTTTGGGGAAAGAATGTGCAATAGAAATTGGGAACATGCGATAGAACAGTGCTTATACAAACAGAATGGCAATCTGTGAGTGTGCAACCAATGCTTGAAAGGTAGCAAGCCAATGCCCTGCGCACTCCCAGTATCTGACAAGGCGCAAAAGTTCCTGCAATGCCCTGTTCAAAAGAACAGCGAATCCAGTTTGGCCGGTGGCGTGCTGAAGGATCTTCTTCCAGTTGGCGTTTCGCAGGCTTCCTTGTGGCCGCACGCCCTTGCCCTCTTGTGAATACGCATTTTGCCCAAAAAGTTCTGGCATGTGTGGGGAAATGGCCCCCTTTCCGTTTTATAAGGAGACTTTCTCATACTTTGACCGCAGTCCTGAAAGCTCAAAGCTTAGCAGTTCTACGCTCCGGGAGCAGAAAGCTGCAGGCGCCATCTCGCCGCAAAGTGCCTCAAGGATGCCTCCAATGTGGTCAGTGTGCGAGCCACAAGCGTCCACCAAGACCTGCCAAAAGAGGTCCTGACAAGACATGAATGAGCTCACATTCTTCATCTGCTCCGTTCAGTGAACGCAGCTACGCTGGAAGGTCCTGAGAGTGCAGTGCTTCCTGAACCGCAGGCTGCGGCGGGGGGAACAATGCACCGCAACCGGTCTCAATCTCCTTCAGGAAGCACACAATCTGCTCGCCGTTCCAGGCTCTCTCCAGCTGAGATCTGGTGAGGGATGTGAGCAATGGATGGATGGATTCCTTCGGAAAGTACTCTGCCAAAAGAAGCGGGTTCAAGACTCTGGTGACAATCTGGTGTGCTACATCCTGAGCCAGCATGGCGCCAAAACCCTATTGACAGTGCCACTCAGACATACACGCAATGTTGTTTGCGATCTGTTTGGTGCCCTGGAAGTAGTATCCAATCGCTGCAAACAAAGCTATAACTGTCCCCTTCACGCACTTCACCAGCGGTTTTCATAGGCAAAACGCGTCGGCATCCAGACATCCCAAAGCATTTGGCCCCTTGCAGCCAGGGATCACGTGGGCCATCGCTGTGGATTTGGGCTTCTTTGAACATCTCCAACGAGACAGGCACCAACAAGTCGCGAGCGTCCGCACCTTGGTTCAGAAAGGTGACTTTTGATGCAATATGAACTGGCATCCTGCAAGTTTCAAGGAGGGCGCGCCTCTGCACGCTCCCTACTACGAGTTGCATCAACAAGCTCAAGCATGCCATGCAAACTCAGTCGTCCACGCGCACAGGCCGCAACCGCCAACCGCATATTACGGCCAGGTTGGTTTCCCTTCAGCAGCTTGCTGACATCCAGGATGCATCGGGCCAGGCGCTGCACATTCTGCGGGTTCTCCACGCCAGCACACGCTGCTGGCGCCAGGAATGGTGCCACCTCACGGCGGAAGGTCTCGTGGTCCCCGGCTTGGCGCGCGCAGAGCGCCACCAACTCCTCCAAATTGAACCCTTGCCTTTCATGTTCGTTGGCCGGCAAAGCTCTGCCAACCTTTCTTGCCAGAACCGCAGCGACCTCCAAGAAGCCGACGAAAGGCAGTTTGTCTGACTCCTCCCGGGCAACCAGTGCCTCTAGCTGCTCCAGAAGTATCTTTGAGCTCTCTTCATCAATGCCAGCCAGGACCTCATCAAACCTTCCATGGTTTGCTACCAATGCCCTCTTGTACGCTTCACGACAACGTTCAAGGCTCAGAGTGACTTTGGTGGGGTGACTCAGAGCAAAGAGCTCAGATGCAAAGCGCTCGGTGTGTGTCACAAAGGGCCATCGCTGGAACAAGCATCGCAGCAAATGCGTCGAGATGACAAATCGCTGTGGCGCTTCCCTGCCAAAGTTTGAGGCTCCCAACGTGTCACACAGCACTTGCGCCGCCTCCTGCATAAAGCTATCAAAGTCCGGGTTTCCTTTGCCCTGCAAATGACGAAATCTTTCGTTGTAGCCATCCACAAGACCAAAGCTCGCAAGCAATGCTGGAAGGCAAAGTCTCAGATTCTGTGTCTGACGAGACAAGGTGCCAAGCTTCCGGATGTTGCACAGCCATGCTTTCTTGGCATCTGTGGGTTCCAATTTGCTGGACCCATCTTTGCAGCTGGCTTCAATCTTGCAACCTGCCATCTGCCCTGGGCTCGTGAAGTACTCGCTTACCAGCTTGCCATCCTTGCTGATGCAAAAAGCCGGAAAAAAAAAAGAAAGAAACAAAAAACACAACACGTGGTTCAAAAGCGATACAGCCAAAAACCGCTGCAATTGAAGGAGTATTGAATCTTGGGAGTCCCATTGCAGCCCATCGATGGCTAGGCCTGCCGCCTGCCCTAGATGCCTGTCACACAAATTGCTTCAGGGAAGCCAGAAGCAACATGCCCTATTCAATGCTCAGTACTCGATTTTGTGTGCATGGTCAGAAACTTGCCTAGCTCCCAAGCCGGGTACGGGAATTTGCTTGAAACAGGTGCCTATGTTTCATCACCGTCAAAACGGCCGTTGCTGTTCGACCAGCCTCTATGACACATGTTTCTCTTGATGAATTGTGGCATCACGAGAACAATATGCACGGCTGCGTTTCGGATGTTTTTGTCTGCTAAGCATGTTGTGGGATCGTCAGTGGTGCTGCGACATGCATGGATCATACCGTGAAAAGAGGAGCTGTGGCTCGAAGGATCTCATGCTTCCCGGCTGCTTTGTTGATTAGACCTGAAAAAGGAGCACCAAAGAAATGCAATCGGCAAAAGCAGCACAAGGAGCTTTGGAGCTGTGCAACAGGTCCTATACATGCCATTTCCCACTAGATTGGACCAGTCAACCCCTATGTTGGTAGGTATACCCCCTGACCTGCCACTCAGTTGTTCAATCACCCTCTGGAACTGCTGAACTCACTGTTGCAGCCATTCATTGTTTAACGTTCGCAACTGCCCACTTTAGACCATGTTACAAAACATGACATGCTAAGAAGACACTTGAATCAAAACCCACAGAAACTACATCACAATACACACTGATGAATTGGGCTTTGGAGGACATCCTTTCCGACACTGAACATCTTTCAACCGGAGCAACCTTCAGTCCAGCGCCCGCAAAGCGAACAATCGAAATATCGCGAACCTACTGCAAATGACTGTCTACTCAGGGAAACGAAGCAAACAAGCGCCACTTGGCACCATGGTCACATGCTCAGTTGCAAGTCAGTGAGGTATGTGTGGTTGAGTTCTGCAACTATGCGCCAGTTGCGCCTACGAGAGTCACTATGAACATATCATATTTGAAGATTGTGCAATCCCTTGCGCAATGTGTTGCAGTCAACAACTGCAGCGAAAAAAAGAAGAAAACAAAAGAAGGTCGTGCAGCTATACATCGCAGAAAGAAGTGCACGTGAACTCTCCTGAGTAAGTTACCCTTCAAAACTTTGCCCAGCAATCAAAGGTGTGGCCCAATGCAGCCAAAGGTCTTCACGCAGGAAGAAGGTCATGGATTGGCCAAACCCCAGATCAACTGACCAGTTCCATGAAAGGTCATCCTGCCGAAGCTGCCCCTCATGAATAGACCCGTAGCTCAACTGCTCTTTGAAGACACCCTCGGCCGAGATGTCATAATGGCGGTCATATGCATAAGTCCACCTCCCAGTGGGAAAGAGCATGGTGCCGCGCCTCAGAAGCTAACTTCATGTTCAACACCAATCATCAATTTGTCTCAGACGCAAGCAGGCAGGCAGGTAAGCAGACAGGCCGGCAAGCAGGCAGAAAGGAAAGCAGACAAGCCGGCAGGCAGACAGGCAAGCAGGCAGACAGGCAGGAGCAAAGTTGTCGATTTACCGACCAGCCCGCGCCTGATCGCTGCTGTCGCAGAAGCAATGCAGGAATTCAACGAATCTGAATCTTCGCCGGCCATTCTGCACTGCGGCTCCTGTCGATTGCGCATAGCAGAGCCTGACAACCTTTGCCCCTCCCAGAAGGACAACCTGGCAAAAGCTGATCGGAGGTTGACGAAGTGGTGCCCTTGTTGGAGGCCTGCTAAAAAACAAACACGCAGGGATTGTGAGGTACTAAATGGGCCTCATCTTTGGCAATCCTGGATAGTTGCAACTGGCGTTGCCCGGTACCGCTTCGGACTCAAAGGCTTCTTCTGGCACCACCCACCACAAAGCGCATGCAACCGTCCTGCAAAGATCTGGCTGAATGAACTTGGCACTGCAGCCAAATGGCGTCGGAAGAAAGAAGCATTGGCCTCTCACACAAACACACATTGCACAGTGACGCGTCGTTGTTCTTCGAATCTTTTCGGGCTCGCCAAGAAGTGTTTGACAACGCAAAGTTGTTTACCATGCAAGCTCCCATAGGGGAGTCATGCTTTCCTTATCAGCCAAAAAGAAGATGGAGCTCTGGCAACTAAGGGTGATCTGCCAGCAAACCTTGGGACCAAGGTTAGCCTCTTTAATGGTGAGAAAGCAAGGGGGCCAGAAACTATTTCTAGATGTTCAAGAAAACCACTAGGAATACTCTTAAAACTTAAAACAATCAAATATGAACCAAGCAGCTCTCAAACTATTCATGAATTTACAGAAGAGTAGCTGAGACTATTTCTAAATTTTAACAGGGACAGGCTGGGACTATTCATAAATCTCACAAGGGAAGGCTTGGACTATTCCTAAAGTTCACAAGAACATGTGGAATCTCCTTTCGCAAGGAAAGGTCAACACTATTCACAAACATCCCTGGGAGAAGCACGGACTATTCTTAAGCTTCACAAGGCAAGGAGAGAGTCATTTCTGAACATTACAAAGAAGCAGCTGTATGGCAATCCTCACATGACTCAACTGCCCCATCAGAAACAAAAGAGATGGTGTCACAAAGTGTCCTTGATGTTCCTCGCCCAAAAGCAATTAACAACTATGGCATGTAGCGGTTGATGATACATTGGTCGTAGTCGTAGTAGTAGTATAGTAGCAGTAGCAGTAGCAGTAGCAGTAGCAGTAGCAGTAGCAGTAGCAGTAGCAGTAGCAGTAGCAGCAGCAGTAGCAGTAGCAGTAGCAGTAGCCTATAGTTGTAGTAGTAGTTAGTCGTAGCAGTAGTTGCAGCAGCAATGGTAGTCACAGCAGTAGTAGTCGTAGTAGTAGCAGTATTTTTCGTCTTTGTCATCATAGAGTCACATAGCAGTAGTTGGCAGTAGTGCGAGCGAAGCAGCACACTGTGGAGAGCAGTGCGAAGCAAAAGCAGTGCAAAGTTTGAGTTTCCAATCGCGCGCCTGGCAAAACTGCTGCCCTTTCATAAGGAGAAGTTGTACGCCTAACTTGTGCTAGCAAAACAACTTCAAAAAACCTCCAGGGTGTGGAACACAGAGGGAGGTGTTTTTGCTATGGGCCCAGTATGGTCCAAGTACAGGCTCAGACCAACACAAAACGAAATGATATGTAGTCGGACTTACCAATTTCTACATCAAGCAGCGAACGAGCTGCGATTCAAACCCAAGCGTTAAGGCATGTCGCACTGCTCCTAGCTTGAACCCAAACATGAAACCTCGAAAGAACAAAGCTCGTCCGAAGCGGCCGCAGTTCTTTTCACCGGGATTGCTGAAAGTTGCACTGCTTCCAGGGCACTAGTGCGCCTGGAGCAGGAGGCACATTGACCCCCCGAAATGCGAAAAGGCAAGACAATGCGTGTCCTTGCGGGTAGATGCAGTGCTTGGGGGGGGCGCGGCACGCGTGCCCACGCCCCAAGGTCCGGAGACCGGAGGTCCGGAGACCGATTATTGGTCCGGAGACCTAGTCCGGAGACCACGGTGCCCGGAGGCGACCCACGAAAGTGCAGAGAAACTGCCGTCTATCCTGGCAAAGCCTGGCATAGGGCAATGCAGGGTGGGTGGGTGGGTTTCGAAATGAAACCGCAGGTTTGGGTCAAGGCTAGGAGCAAAACGGCCAACGCATAGTTCGATTCACCACATGCCCTAAACACAAGGGAAAAGAAACCCTAAGCGTTAAGGCATGTCGCACTGCTCCTAGCTTGAACCCAAACATGAAACCTCGAAAGAACAAAGCTCGTCCGAAGCGGCCGCAGTTCTTTTCACCGGGATTGCTGAAAGTTGCACTGCTTCCAGGGCACTAGTGCGCCTGGAGCAGGAGGCACATTGACCCCCCCTTCAGTGTTTCAGTCAACCCCGGTAAAAGCGAACCAGCTGGGCCGAAGGCCTCATCACCCGCCCTTCAGAGTGGGGTTGTACCTGGCAGGGCAGATGTTATGGTCACCATGCACGCTGTGTTGTGAACAGCTCGGCATGCGGTGACTGCACTTTTTTCTGGTCAGAGCGGCTTGTGCAAGCGGCTGGCTGACATTGCCAGTTGTTCTGGCTGACAAGGCAACGGCAGAAAAGGGTTCAGAAGGCCAAGTCGAATGCAGGCTAGGCTGGCTTTGCGACGATGGACGCTGCTGCCAAATGTTCCGGACGCCAGGGCGCATGCATCGGACACAGTTGAATGCCTCGGCCTGACATCGCCAGGCTTGCAGGGCTGAAGCGCATGCGACTTTCAGGGCGATGGCTGAGTCGGGCCAACCGACCTCTGCTGAGATCGTCTGCCCAATCATTGCACCTTCCTGGAACGTGCGTGGGCTGCAGCAGCACGTTGTGAGCGTGAGCCCAGAAGGCTGTTAACTGCACAAAAAGTTGCAACGGCCATGAGGTCGTGAACAATTTGTTAAGGCTTGCTTCCGTGGCGGAATTGTCCGTGCCGGACGGCACGCTAAACGAGTAGTGCCCACCACCAATGTGGCTGTGGGTTGCTTGCAGCAGTGCTAACTGTGCAAGTGTTTCAAAGCATGCGATATACCGCTGTGCTGGCTTGACAAGGCAAGGCCACACTGCTCTTATGTCTTGCATGTTCCAGGTCTCGGCGAACCACACCACTTGGGAGGATGTGATTGCCCAGCCGCCAATCCCCACCATTTCATCTTCAGCACACGCGTCGGCGGCAGCCAGAGCTTGCAGCTGGCGTGGCCGCGCCAACGGCTGAATGGGTGAGTGTCGAAAGCAAAGCAAGGCACTGTTGACTCGACTTGGAAAGGCTGGTGTATGGGTTATTGGGGTCCGCGATGCGCACCCATGTGAGGCAATGCAAGGTGCGGCCTGAAATTTCCAAGATTTTGGAGCCCGCTGTGATCCACAATCCCGGCAGG